TCTGCTGGCCTGGGAAGACTGGGCTGTCCCCCAAATGTGGTCTGCTGGCCTGGGAAGGCTGGGCTGGCCCCCAACTGTGGTCTGCCGGCCTGGGAAGGCTGGGCTGGCCCCCAACTGTGGTCTGCAGGCCTGGGAAGGCTAGGCTGTCCCCCAAATGTGGCCTGCATGAAGAAATTGAACTAATTTCATCGTATTTCTACCTCTCCCTCTGCTCATTTTCCTGTTTTCAGCCTTTTATTTCTTTGTTTTATCCTCAATCCCATCTTTTCTGCTCTGCCCTTCTCTATGGCTAGGTCTGTGTCACATTGTCCTGTCCATCTTGCTTGACAGGCGAGGACTGCTCCACTCCTTTTACGCTGCAGCCTGGAAGATAAGGGGTGTGGAATCAAGGGGCCACATGGGAGTATGTGGGGGGGTCTAAGCTGCCATCCAGCAAGGAACCTGCTCTTCCCCCTCTGTCCCGACCCTGCCAGCCTGCCAGCCGGTCCAACCCACCAGTCCAGCGCCATCGCCATGGTAACCAGCAGCTGACTTCCTATTGGTGGGCAGGAGGGGAGGAGGAGGGGGAAGGGAGGGTTGATGATTCTCCCCTGCTCCCCCCACCCCATTCTGAGGCTCAGCCCTCCTTCGTGCCCACCATCTCATTTGGGAAGCTCTGGGACCGTGAGGGACTCCTGCAGTCCCTCGTGCTGAGACTAGCTGGGGCAGAGACTATGAGGCAAGCCGCTCATCGACCCAGGCCTCCTTAGGACCGCCCAGCCACCCAGCAAGCAAGTGATCAGCGGCAGCGGAGAGAAAAACTGGAGATAAAGGACCACAGTGGATCACTGGGCATCACCCCCAGCAACTCCTGAGGACCCCATCCAGGCTGAGGAGTTATGATGGATGGCCAGACTCGCAGACACTGACAGACAGACACCACTAGAGACACGCAGGGCTTGACTACACTGGCTCACTGAGATAGGACCGGAGACAGCATCGTACACCGCCACAGCCCTGCAACACAGACAGCCCCCACCCCACGCAGGAACAACTGGTAACTCTGAAATAGGCACAGACAGTGACACATAGCACCACCCTCCTCAGCACACACAAGTCGGGGTACCCATCCTCCAAACACATATAAGACATCACTGACCTGCAGGGACAGACCTGGATACGCGCATACACATACCTTCAGCTAGGTTCTGCTGCTGGTAGCCTCTGCACCGCCTCCCCCCCCCCCCCCCCCCCCCCCCCCCCCCCCCCCCCCCCCCCCCCCCCCCCCCCCCCCCCCCCCGCCTCCACAGGGGACACCCTTGCTTCTCCTCATACTCTCTCACACACAGAACCATGAGCAAACATACCTGACATACCCCCAGCTCCAGCCCGGCAACCCTGACACCGTCTGAAGCCTCCTTCGTGGGTGGGAAGAGCTCAGCCAACCTCTCTCTGATGGAGCCTCGGTGAAGCCAGATGCTTACAGGGAGAAGGGTCTAGCCTGGCATGACCCTTATCAGCCTCCCTACTTGGCTGGGTGATGTCCCCAGGTCCAGGTTCTGGGGTCCCTTGCGGAAACCATGGAGCAACTGACAACCCTTCCACAGCTTGGAGACCCTGGAGCCATGGAGCCATGGACACTGCCTGCCTGGCAGTGCTGGACTCAGGGCCAGGGGTGCGAACCTGGAGATGCAACTCCAAGCATTGCTGGTACGACAGTGCTGCAGGTTAGAGGACTGAGGTCTGAAGAGAATTCTGAGCCTGAGGGAGCCCATAGCCCTGGGCCTATTGGGAATACTGACCCTGAAGGAACAGAGACTGGGCTGCCCAAGCTAGGGCAGCAAACGGAGAGCCCTGGGTACAGCGGCCCTGGGCTAGAGGATGAGGAGGCACAGGCTTACAAGGTAAGGGAAGCTGAAGAGGGCTGCAAGATTGGCCAGCCATAGCCTGTAGCCCCACAGCCCACATTTCTTATCCGGGCCTGCCTCTGTCTGTGATTATCTGTCCTCCCTGCACTGGATGGGAATCTCAGTGACTTTATTCTGTCTCTCTGGACCTGCCCCTCAGTGTATGTGCATGTCTCTCTGACTGTTAGGTCTCCTCGTCCATGAACCTGGCTGTTTTGGGGGGGGGTATTGGGTATGTTGGGGTTGTGGAGGTGGGCTCAGTGCTGAGCCTAGCCAAGTGACTCTGTTAGGTCTCCTCGTCCATGAACCCGGCTGTTTTGGGGAGGGTCTTGGGTATGTTGGGGTGTGGAGGTGGGCTCAGTGCTGGGCTGAGCCAAGGAAGATGATGATGTGGATGGGTGTGAGCGATTTACTGAAGGATGGAGGAAGCAGGACTTTAGGGGAGGGCAGGGGAGACTCCCCGGACCCAAGGTGTCTAGAGGGATGGGGAAGGGGTTTGATCTGGCATTACTCAGGAGGATTTGGGCAGAATGGCAAGGATAGAGGAACAGCAAGAAATGCCTCTAGAATGGTGCGTGGTGGCGTGGAACTGCCACTGAAGGCATGGAGGACTGGGCACCCCTTCTTTTTAGGTCCTGGTGGTACCCCTCTCTAAAGGCCTGGGGCAGAAGAGAGAGCCTTCTTAGCTTCTTGGACTGTATAGGGAGATATTTCATATGGAGGACCCTGGCTAGCCTGAGTAGATTTCTGAGGCACTGTACCGGTCCTTCCCCATGCCAGGCCAAGCTGAATGTGGGCTTCGGGGTCAGGTCCAATCTGGAGCTGCTGAGGGCCCTAGGCGAGCTGCAGCAGCGCTGTACCATCCTCAAGGAGGAAAATCAGATGCTGGTGAGACCTGGAGAGTGGGGTCCCCCTCATCAGTACCCTGATCACCCCATAAACATCTCTTCAAGGAGGGAGGCACACAAGGGTGACATTATCACGTACCCCACACCCCTAAGACCCTTGCATAGCACCGTCAAGGATCTCACTGTGTGCCTAGGCTCTAGCCTAGGGCCTGGGAAGAGGAAATGGGTCTGTGGGGTGCTCCCTACACAGTCCAATTCTGGCTGACCCCCCTGTCAGAGAAAAAGCAGCTTCCCAGAGACGGAGGAGAAGGTACGGAGGCTAAAGCGGAAGAACGCAGAGCTGGCGGTCATTGCCAAGCGCCTGGAGGAGAGGGCCCAGAAGCTGCAGGAAACGAACATGAGGGTGGTGAGGACAGACTGCTGGGTGGAGGCTTGGGTGACTTGGGAAGAGAACCAAGGCTGGGTCACAGGGAGTGGACTTGGGTGTCATAGACTTACTGCCCAGGAAAGCAGGAGTCCAGGGTAAGAAGGGCAAATGCTGGCCCAGAGGCGGCTGGAGGTACCAGAGGGAAAGGGGCGGATGGGAGAGCCTCCTTAGCAGTCAGGGAGCACAATTCTGGATTAACACGTGCTGGAGCTGTTTCCAGCCTCCTGCTGAGCTCATCTGGGGTGTGGAGCGGGAGTGGGGGCAGGGAGAAGTCCCATCATAGTGGCAGCCCTGAATTAGTAGTGTCCTTTGAGACTAAACTAAGACTTAGAGTTAACACTTTCCATCCTGCTTGGGGGACTGTCAGGTTGAGGTTCATTGAGGATGCAGTTCCTCTGAGGCCCCAGACTGGGTTTCATCCTAATTCTTCCTCTGGGAGATGAGGAGTGGGAGGTGTGTCCCCAGCCCTCAAATGCTCACGGCCTTTCCTCTGGTTAGGTGAGTGCCCCTGTACCCCGACCTGGATCCAGTTTGGCCCTAGCCCGCCAGCGAGCCCGGGACCTCAGTGAGACAGCCAGTGCACTACTGGCCAAGGACAAACAGATTGCAGCCTTGCAGCGGGAGTGCAGGGAGCTGCAAGCCAGACTCACTCTGGTGGGCAAGGTGCGAAGGGGGCCTGGGCGTCTCTTCCTGCTCGATCCTATGTCTGCTTAGAGTGTGGGATGTGGACCAGATGTTAATGAGATGCAAATGAAACGGAGAGGTGGTGGCTGCTGGGGAGTAGGTTCCCCTGGCAACGGCCCAGGTGGGAGAGGGGAGAAGACGACTGAATCGAAGAGGGTAGAGCCGTTGAGTCCAAGACCTGGACATTTTTTGTGTTCCAAGCTTGAAGCTGTGTGCCGGTGGATCTGACTGTAGGAATCCACACATAGTTCACACTTGTGTGAAGGAGTGTTCGCACAGGCATTTAGCACAGCTCAGGCACACTGCGAGCGCCCAGTGAACGAGTTGCTGTGAATGCTTTTGCCCACGAGCCAGGAGCATGTGGCTTCATACTCATGCTTATACGACCAACCATATATGCATGGGAAGATACGCACTTTCCCGCGCAGCCGAACCTATCCGGTACGGTGGAGAGCTGGAGATGATCAGGGGCCAGGCAGGGGTTGGAAATGACTCGGCTCCTGGTCGCCCCACCCCAGGAAGGTCCCCAGTGGCTGCATGTGCGGGACTTCGACCGATTGCTGCGCGAGTCCCAGCGGGAGGTGCTGCGGCTGCAGAGGCAGATCGCCCTGCGCAATCAGCGGGAGCCGCTTCGGCCAGCCCGGCCCCAGGGTCCCACTGCCCTCTCCAGAGTAGGGGCGCCGGCCCCCGGGGCCCCGGGAGAGGTGAGCGCCTGCGCGGGGGCAGGTGTGTGAGTGTGTTCAGATGCGGGGTCGGGGCAATCCGGGGATCTCCCCCGGCAGGAGGCTCAGAGGGGGACCCCCGTGGTGACATGCACGCTCTCCTAGGGTCTAGGGAGCCTTCCCGACAGGGGAGCGGGGGACTTGTCCAAGACTCCCGCGCTCGTACCTGAGCCGCGCCCTACCCCTGGGGGTTTCGGGGTTCCTCCCTCCGCAGGCCTGCGCCCCACGGGGCCAGCCTGGCCGCCCCTGCCGTGTCGCTAGTGGTACGTCCCGGCCGCAAATCCCTGGTTGCCCTGGCAGCCGCCCGGGGCCCAACCCGCGCCGCCTCCTCCCGCAGCTGCGGTAGAGCGGGGACGCCCCCTTCAGCGTCCGCCCGGGGCCCAGGCCTGGCCGGGGTTACCCTGGGGGGCGGTGCATACGACTCAGTTCCAGGTAGGGCGACCTTCATTGAACAAGGGCTAAGGCAGCTTCGGTCTAGAGGGCCTGACCCCCCCCCCCACCGCCCCCGAATCTCGGGGCCTGGCTCCTATCCATTATTCTAGGTGGGCAGCATTTAGATTGGCCTCCTGGGAAGAAGCCTGGGAGGCAGGAGGGATCTGATAGTATCTGATAGTGACATAACCTCGCGGGATGGGGATGTAAGAAGGGGTGGTGGTGCTGGCTCAGACTCTGCCCCTCAGTCTGACTGATCCATGGAGGAAGATGCAATCAAGCCCTGGCCTCCAAAGTTTGCAGGGATAAATGGGAAGCTGATAGGGATGGGGATAGGGGGGCGGGGGAGGGGGAGAGCTGGCTAGGTTTACTCTACTCTAGGCCAAGCACAGAAAGGATGATCCAGAACCCTAGCTCTAGGAATACCACACATATCTCTGGGGATCCAAGCCGACTCCTGATTCTCTGCTAGTCGCTGAAGGACGCCTAGGACAGTTGAGTGCAGAGCAGGGTAGCTGCTGGAAGCTAAAAACAGAAAGCGCTGGCCTGGATAAAGGACCCATCTCCGGGGGCACACGTGGGTCCTGGGATCTCAAAGCACTATGGCTCACAGAGACAGGGGAGGAACCTTTATCCCTCCGTGTCAGCTGGAGATCTTGGGAGGGTGGGCAGGCAACACTCCTCACCCACTGGCACAGATGTCATTGCTGACCTGGTCCTGAGGACAGGCCGCTCAGGGGCCCCGTTCTCTGGTACCATCTCCCCGCCCCTGGGGATTTGCAGGCCATACTCCAGGAAGATGTGGACAGCCCACAGGTGGTCCTAGGGGAACCAGAGAAGCAGCAAAGGGTGCGGCAGCTGGTAAGTCCCAGGCTGAGGGCTGGAGGCAGCCGACTATGGGCACTTCTACCTTTCCCCATGAGAAGCCCTCGGTTCTGACCCCTGTAGGAGTCTGAGCTCTGCAAGAAGCGAAAGAAATGCGAGAGCCTGGAGCAGGAAGCCCGGAAGAGGCAGAGGCGATGTGAGGAACTGGTAAGCGCTCACGCTCACGGCCGCCCAGGAACCAGCTCCCTTCTGTTTCCCAGGCCAGCCAGAGGGTGGGCTCCCTCAGCCCCACTGCTTGTATCCTCCACCCTCCAGGAGAAGCCGTTTCCTCTTGCTTTTAAACTTCCCTTTCCTTCGGGTTTCCATGGGAGGCCTTGTCTGGGAGGGCACAGTCAGTCCTTCATGTCAGTGAGCCAGAAAAGTGAATTCTGGCCCCTTCCTCATAGCATGTCTGACCTCACTCCCACAGGAACTACAACTGAGAGCAGCCCAGAATGAGAATGCTCGCCTGGTGGAAGAGAACTCTCGGCTCAGTGGGAGAGCCACAGAGAAGGAGCAGGTTCAATTCCTGCCCTGTCCCTGGAGAAAGATGGGCCCCCAGTGAGGCCTGAAGGCCTCCTCCTGGGGTGTAGTCTGAAGGGAACTGTCCCCCTTTGGCAAGTAGCAGCTGGGCTAAAGCTCACACGTGCACCTCCCTGACAATGCCCCCCTCTCCAGGTGGAGTGGGAGAATGCGGAGCTGAAGGGACAGCTCCTGGGAGTGAAGCAAGAGCGGGACTCAGCCCTTCGCAAAAGCCAGGGCCTGCAGAGCAAGCTGGAGAGCCTGGAGCAGGTGCTGAAGGTGAGAGCTCCCGCAGGCGCCCTGATGAGACAAGTCGAGGATCAGGGAGTCCTGGTGCTGCCAGCCCTTTGTCGCTTCCAGTCTGAAGCAGGTGGCAGTCGAGGTCCCCCGGTCTTAGGTCTTCCGTGACATGGTGGAGTGGGACGCTCTGGTCTTGACCCAATCTTGTGTTTCAGCACATGCGGGAGGTGGCCCAGCGGCGGCAACAGCTGGAGGTGGAGCATGAGCAGGCTCGGCTCAGCCTGCAGGAGAAACAGGAGGAGGTCCGGAGGCTGCAGCAGGTGGGAGCAGGGACAAGAGACCCCACCTTTGCCACCCGCTCATCCAATCATTAAGCAGGGAGAGACACCAGGGAACAAAATAGGGGTTCCCAACCAGTCAAGTAAATGACCGGAAGATTCTGAATTTGAGGCCGGTGTGGGTGATGTGGTGTGACCCTGCTTTAGACAATAAAAGGTAGAAAAATAAGATCGATTCTATGAGGAGAGTGACGTGACACAACTCATAATTTCGCAAGGTCAGGCTGGTGGGTGGGTCCTGGGAGTGGCATCCAGCGGGTGATCAGATGTCAGGGATGTGGCAGTAGTCTAGGAGGGTGCATGTAACTATAGAGGTAAACAAGCCAGCGGATTGGAAACACAGTTCAGGGATAAAACTGCAAGACCCCTTCAGTGTCACTTCTTATCTGTCTGAAGCCTGGAGAGAATGGGGCTTTTCATCCCATCCCCGGCCCCAGCACGAGGAGGAGGAAGGCAGAAGAGTCTATTCTGTTGCTGTTAGGGGAGGAAAGAGTTCATTTCAGTTTACACTTCCAGGATATAGTCCACCATCGAGGGGAGCCCAGGCAGGAAGCGAAGCAGAAGCTATGCATGGGGCGTGCTCACTGGCTCTCTCTCTCTGGCTTCCTTGATGTCTTATGCTCAACTAGCTTCCCTTCTCTCTCTCTCTCTCTCTCTCTCTCTCTCTCTCTCTCTCTCTCCATGGTCTCACTATATTACCCTGGCTGGCCCAGACTGCTCTGTGTAAATCAGGATAGCCTCAGATTTACAAAGATCCTCTTGACACTGTCTCTAGATGCTGGGATTAAAGGTGTGCACCACCACACCTGGCCCTCAGCTAGCTTGCTTATACAGCCCAGAGTCACCTGCCTAGGGATGGCGTTGCCCACCACAGGCTAGGCCCTCCTACATCAATTAACAAATAAGACATGTCCCACGGGCGTGCCCACATCCCCATCTGATAAGGCAATCCTTCAGTTGAGAGTCCCTCTTTCCAGGTGACTCTGGGTTGTGTCATGTTGACAGAAACTAACCAGGACAGAGCAACAACTCTGGGAGACAGGGCACTTTGAGTTTCAAGTTCTGTTTTTAGCAAGTTTGAGGGGTATGATAAAGCATTCAAATGGACACATCCCAAGACAACTGAGCATGAGTCTGGAGCTATGAAGTGGCTGACCCTGGAGGTATTTGGGGCCATCAGTGCTCAGGAGACTGGAGAGAAGCCTGTGTCCAGGGATGTTGGAGGAGGGCCTGCTTGTTGGTTCCCAGACACCCGGCTAGCTTAGACCCAAAATAATCATACAGAAACTATATTAATTTAATCACTGCTTGGGCCATTAGCTCTAATTTCTTATTGGTTAACTCTTACATATTAATTTAACCCATCTCCATTAAGCTGTGTATTGCCACGTGGCAGTGGCTTACTGGCAAAGTTTCAGCATGTCTGACTCTGGCCACAGCTCCATGACATCTCTCTGACTCCGCCTCCTTTCTCCCAGCATTCAGCCTAGCTTTCCCTGCCTACCTAAGTTCTGCCTTACTATAGGTCCAAAGCAGTTTCTTTATTTATTAATGGTAATCACAGCACACAGAGAAGACTCCCACATCACAGGGACACCTTGACTTTCTAAGGACAGAAGACAGGGGACAGAGAAAAGGCTCAGAAAGAGCCACAGTAGGTAGGAGAGGAGCCATCCACCAGAAGGGTGGATGTCCCAGGAGAGAAACTGCACCTGGCTCCACCTCTGGTGCCGTCCTCCTTCCTGTTTAAGGCATTGCTCAGGGGGTCTGCAGGAAACCCTTTGGCCTCTGGCTCCCTGGACCCTTTCTCCTTTCCTCCCTACATTGTCCCCCTTTCCTTCCAGCCCCCATCTTTATTCTTCACCCTGGGTCTGTTGTGCAGCCCTCCCTCCCAGCATTTTGCTTCTTTCCGTTTGTAGGCACAGGCAGAAGCCAAGCGGGAACATGAAGGAGCTGTGCAGTTGCTGGAGGTAGGGGCCTTGGAGCATAAAGGAGCGGGAGAGAGCAGGAGAGAGCGGAAGGAGGGGTCTTAAGTAAGGCCGGGTGGAATCCCCTTCTTGTTGGCCTATTTCTTAGACTGGGGTACCCAGGGCCAGAGCTCCTGAGTCTGGTGGCAGTAGTCCCCATCTCAGAGAAATGTCCTTTCTATGCTTTCTTTGACTCAGTGCATCTACAGGGTCATACCCATCCGTCATAGGTCCCCTCATACCTCCTCCCCCTGGGTTATGGCCGTGGAGACCTAAATGTTCTAACCTCCCTGTGTCTTCCTTCCCCACCAGTCTACACTGGATTCCATGCAGGTACAGTGTACTTCCACCTTCCACCTCCTGGGTGTTCCCTCTTCTGCCCCCCCACCATATTTCTTCCCTCAGGGACCAACTCTGATATCCCACAGAGGGGCCATCCCTGATGGCAGACCTGAGACTCCACAGATATCCAGAGAGCTTACAGAACACATGGGCTGTCCCCTCATCCTAAACCTGTGACTGCGCTTAGCAGACACAGGGCCCTCCCTCCTGTTGTCTTAGACCATGAGGATATTCGTCACCCATTGGCTCACCTTCCTTATGACATTGTCAGTGGGAGAGCCCTTGATCTAGAAACTTGCCTGGTAATTGAGAAAAGGTCGTGAGAACTGGCTCATTCTATCCAAAGACAGCCTCATTTCTCATGGAACCTTTCACCCACCTCTCTGAGGGCAGGGCCACGGCCTATGGGAGAATAACTAGAGGCAAAGTTAGCTAAGGAGACTCCTGAGTTGTTGATGGTGGGCGGAGGAAATCCCTTTGGCCTATAAAGTATTCTGAGGCAAGAGCGACACTGGCCTGGGTCTGAGGTTGGTGCTCTAGGTTGGTACTCAGGCTGGGGGAGGGCACACATATGTGTAAATTAAAGTCTGATGTAGAGCGGTGTGGAGCTGGCTGGTTCTCTACAGCTCTGCTAGGCCTGGTAAACCACAATGGTTCTTGTTTCAGGCCCGGGTTCGAGAGCTTGAGGGGCAGTGTCGCAGCCAAACTGAGCGCTTCAGCCTTTTGGCACAGGAGCTCCAGGCCTTCCGTCTGCACCCAGGCCCCCTGGATCTGCTTACTTCTGCCCTGGGCTGTAGTGCCCTTGGGGACCATCCACCACCCCACTGCTGCTGCTCTACCCCTCAGCCCTGCCAGGGGTCCGGCCCCAAAGGTAAGGTGTACCCTAATGACATTCGTCTGAGGCTTTTGTATAGTGCAAGGAGTTTAAGATTAGACGCTAGCCAGGCATCTGACGTCACACAGCAAGTTAAAGACATACCTCCTTAAAGTCACAAGCTCAGGCAGCTGTTCTACCTCTAACTGGGAGTCGGGCAATCACTGTCGGTATCAGGGTCTTAGGAAGAGTCGAGAATTAAAAATCAGTCAGATCTGGTGGGTCTAGCTTGATTCTCTTCCCAGCCAGCTGGAGTTAGCATGTTGTTTAACCTCTTTAAATGGTAGTTTCCCAAGCCACGAGGCAGGAAGAACTCAATGCATTTCATTAAACGCCGAGGGGATTCTGACAGATCTGAATCACAGCGAGTTTCTCCCCAAATATTTCCCTTATGGCTAGGAAATCTGGGTATAAAGGTCACACGCCCATAGCCGAGAAGCTCCACCTCTCTCTCCCAGTCCCTCTTCAGACCACAGATCCCAAACCCTTGGCATCTTCTCTTTAGACCTTGACCTCCCGCCGGGTTCCCCAGGACGCTGTACCCCCAAATCTTCTGAGCCTGCTCTTGCTACCCTTGCTGGGGTCCCTCGAAGGACGGCTAAGAAGGTGGAGTCTCTTTCCAATTCTTCCCGCTCAGAGTCCGTCCACAACAGCCCCAAGTCGTGTCCCACGCCAGAGGTTCGTGCTGGGCCAGGGACTTTGGGCTTAGAGAAGGGGCAGAGGTGGAAGACTGGTGGTAACTGATCCCAAGCTGGGACATAGAAGGCCTGTGGGTTCCTCTTGTGGGCAGGAACTCAGGCGTTGCCTGCTCTCCAGGGCCTACCTACCTAAGCCGCACCTCTCTGGGGTCCAGGGAGGCCCTAGAGTCTTGAGCTGCATGAGGAGACAGTTTGGCGCCTGATCCACGTAATGAGTCTGTCCGTAAGCGCGACTGCAGTGGAAGCAGTGGCTTGTGGGAGAAAGAGCACAGGCTCCTGGGTTCAGATCCCAGCCTTATCTTAGGAAAGGCACTCACAGGGGGTTCTCTAGGCTTGGTTTCCTTATCTGAATGCTGGGGGTAGCAACCTTATAAGATTCTTGTGAGGTTACGTCTCAGCCAGGGGCACCCAGGAGATGCCCAACCTGTGGCAGCTGTAGTCATTACTAACTTCACCCTCAGACAGCTCTTCTGATCACACCTGGTCTCTCTTTCCACCTCTGAACCGTCCAAGTGGAGGTGGCAGGTCAGGAGCAAGGCTACTCTCACCAGGCTTTCAGAAAGTGGTACAACCCAGCCCTGGGCCTCTGCTGCCCCCTGGTGGGATAGATTGAGGGTGCTGGTTTTGGGCTAGCCTCAGCCGACCTGAAGTTAAGTTCCAGTGGGCCTGAAGCAGGAGATACAGTCACAGGGCTAGAACCAGGATGGGGGTGAGGGTAGGGGTAGGGTGTGTGTGTGTAGGGTGTTTCCAGATCCTCTTCATTCTTGTTTCCAGCTCTTTACAGTTAAGATGCTTCTCTGAGTTTCTACCGTGCGAAGCCAAACTATCACTGATTCCTGCTCCCCCTCTGGCCTGGCCACCAGTGGGGTTGGGGGATGTTGTTTTAGTTCCTGGGCTGGAGCCAACATTCAGGAAAGGGTCCACGTTGTCCTCACACCCCCAGACTAGGACAGCTGTGTGCGTCACAGACCTTCTGTCTCAAGTCTGGTTTAGAAAATGCCAGGCCTTGTTGTCGCTGGCCTTGCCGGGTGTGTTTCCTTCTCAAGGCCACTCTGCCTGCAGAGTGCACTCTGGAGAGGGACCAACTCTTTCTTCTTGCCCCAGGTGGACACAGCCAGTGAGGTGGAGGAGTTGGAGGTAGACAGTGTCTCCCTGCTGCCTGCTTCGGAGGGCAACTCGGGAGGAGCCAGGATCCAGGTCTTTCTAGCACGTTATAGGTGGGTCCCTCTTGCTCAGTCTGCCACCCCGTGTTGGGATGCACAGGGGACAGATGTGGGCAAAGATGGATAGCCCTGAAAATAGCGGAGGGTGGTACAGGGGTCCTGGCTGAACACTGTGCTAATGGCACAATTAAGCCAAGGTGAATACCGTGCATGCCCTTCTTGGCTACAGTAGTAACCGCGTCTCCAGAAAGGCTTGATGTGTGACCGTGAGAAGCTGAATATGGAGGCAAGATGTCAGCCAATGTGTTGTTCCTCCTCTGCTACTCTCCCAACAGCTACAACCCCCTTGAGGGTCCCAATGAGAACCCAGAGGCCGAGCTTCCCCTCACAGCGGGCGAGTATATCTACGTCTATGGCGACATGGATGAGGATGGTTTCTTTGAAGGTAGGACAGTAATAGGGGTTACCCTGTCCAGTCTCCTGCCTTTACTGTTCCTGGAGACTTCTGTCCTTCCAGTCCTGTTCCTCAGGACACTCAGTCCACCCCAGCTTTTCAGACTCAGCTGAGGGTTGCTCTGAGATTTGGGGCAGCCAACAGGGGAAGAGAAAGTGACTGGTCTAACAAGTCCTTATGTTAGAAAGAGTGTCACAGGATGTCACAGGTTACTTTGGCTAGATTAATTTTTGTGCTAATAGAGAATGGCACTATTTAACACTGGTGATAATTACAGCTTGGCATCTGTCTGCAATGGGTCAGATAGGAGGAGGAGGAGGACGAGGGGTTCATGTTCCAATCCCACACAATCCAAGCAGGTGGTAGGTGGGTACTAGGACCAGGGCGGGACTGAGCTTCAGGAAGGTTGGCTAGGTCCTGAAGGGAGACACAGAGCTCAGCATGCAGCAGGCAGATGTGTCACTGACACTTGGCCAGCTGATAGAACCTGCAGAATGAGGAAGTGGTTGCAGGAGCCTCCTGCAGAGTGCTCCTGGCTGGTGCTCCGAGCCACATCCTTCGACAGAGGGGAGGTGTGGCTGGAGAATGTGTGTGGCAAAGACCACAGCTGTGTGTAGAAGTTTAGGAAATGGGCCAGATCTGAGTGAACACCAAGAGCTTCAGAGCCTGCCTAGCTCCTTTCCTGGCCCATGAGCAACTTTCGGGATTCCAAACAGCTAAACTCTCCTTAAGGGTAGATGTTGAAGGGCTTCCAGCAGAATTGGCTTCCAGGAGAATTGTACTTAATTTGTGTCTTCATTTGTTGATTTGTTTTGATATTTGTTGTTACTGGGGTTTGCACCTAGGACCTTGTGAGTGCAGGTACTGCAACACTGAGTGCAAACCCAGCCCTCTTTCTATTTCTTGACACAGGGTCACAGGGTCTTACTAGGGTTTCCAGACTGACCTTGAACTTGGGTTTTTTTTTTTTTTTGGTTGTTTGGTTTGGTTTTTGAGACATGGTTTCTCTGTGTAACAGTTCTAGCTGTCCTGGAACTAGCTATGGTAGACCTACTGGCCTTGAACTCACAGAGATCTGCCTGCCTCTGCCTCCCGAGTGCTGGGATTAAAGTGCCACCACTGCCCAACTTTGAACTTTGAACTTGGTTTGTGTCAAGGCTGGCCTTGAACTCTCAATCCTCCTGACTCAGCCTCCTAAGTAGTTGAGATTTCAGGCCTGTGTCACCAGACCTGGCTATCATGTGTTTTAATGAGAACAGATACTAGAAATTATATATCTGTCTCTAGAGATATAATTATTGGTTGTGAGTCACCATGTGGGTGTTAGGAACCAAACCTGGGTCCTTTGCAAGAGAAGCCTGCAGAATGTAGCAGTGCTCTACTGAGAATCATCTGTCTAAGTCCACACTGTCAAGTTTTTTTTTAAAGGGGATAGCAAAAGCACAAACAAATCTTATACCTTAGTTTACTAGACTTTAAATTACATAGTCTCCAGGAAGTTGAAATAGGGTGTTTATTTTGAGACAGAGGCTCCTATGTAGCCCAGGCTAGCCTAGAATTCCCTGTGTGGACTAGGCTGGCCTCCGACTCACTTTTTGTGGCCACATCACTCCAATCTCTGCATCTATGGTCACGTCGCCTCCTCATCTCTGTCACTCCTGTTTTGTCTTTTATAAGGATATTTGTCATCAGACTAGGGCCCACCCAGATAATCTTCAATCAAGATATTTACTTAGTTAGATCTACACAGGAACTTTTTCCAGTTTAGGTAATGTTCTCAGGTTCCAGGGATTGGGGAACATAGCCATATTTGGTAGACCATCATTCAACCTACTATGGTCCTTATGGTATTATTTAACTTATTGGGAATCCCTGCTATTTCTTCAAGTTACTTTTCTCCTAATGTGAGCAGAAAAGGGAAGGGGGAAGGGCATAAAGTACTGCTGGGGCATCCCCTGGTATCCCAAAGACCCCATGGCCACCCACGGTATGCTCCCTAAGAGCTGTTTCTCCCTCATATGCCATGTGTGTACCCACTTGCTTGGTCCTCCAAGTCTTCTCTGTCACTTCTTCTTTGATGAGGTGGTTTCCCCCTTCTTTTGTGGCTTTCTGCTTTTTGATAAAGAGAAGTTGGGGCTCTCCATAGCCCCTACTCCTCAGGCCTGTGTCAAATCTACTACGGTTGAACATCTTCCTTCCTTCGTTCCTTCCTTCCTTCGTTCCTTCCTTCCTTCGTTCCTTCCTTCCTTCGTTCCTTCCTTCGTTCCTTCCTTCGTTCCTTCCTTCGTTCTTTCCTTCCTTCCTTCCTTCCTTCCTTCCTTCCTTCCTTCCTTCCTTCCTTCCTTCCTTCCGATACTGGATCTCCTGTAGCCCATGCTGCCCTCCAATTCATTCCATAGCTCAGAGCCACCTTGGGCACCTGATCCTCCTACCTCCACTTCTCACATGCTGTATTGCAGATGTATACCCGGATCTTAGCATATATATGTTGATTTATTCTTTGACAGTTTCATGCTTGTCTGCAGGACATTTTGGGCGTAATCTTTCCTCCTCCTACGCCCACCAATCCCCCCTTCCTTCTACCAAGTCTCCAACTCTCTTTTGTCTCTTTTGCTTTTCACATTGTGACCCACTTTGTTAGAGAGGCAGTCATGTGAGCATGGGTATGGAGCTACAGACCAGTGTATGAGTGACTCACCAGTGGCTACATCACTGGAGATAGGGGTTTCCTATTCTCCAGCATCTCTTCACTCCGCTGGGTGGGGGTGGGGTTCTATGATCTGAGAAATTTCATATTTGTTTGCGTGTGTGTGTGCACGTGCGTGCACACGCACGTGCTTGTGTGTGCCTGCAGAAGCCAGAAGATGACATCAGAGTCTCTGAAGCTGACATGGGTTCTAGGAACTGAACTTGAGTCCTCTGCATGAGCAAGAAAGTGCTCTTAACTGATGAGCCACCCTCATTCTTGAGATAGAGTCCCACTATGTAATCCAGGCTAGCCCCAACTTCCCATCTTCCTGCCTCTGACCTGCTGAGAGCTGGTACTATAGGCATATACCACCACTCCCAGATTTTTAATATGGAAGTTTCTAGATATGTAGACCACATCGAGAGGTGGTAGGGTTGTGGCTTGTTCGGTAGAGTACTGCCTACCAAGGGCAAAGTCCTGGGTTCAGTCCCCAGCACTGTGTGAAACCATGGGTGGTGCACATTGGTTAGCCTAGTGTTTGTGAGGTGGGTCAGAAGGTCAAGGTCATCATGGGCTACACTGTGAGTTCAAGGCCAACCTGGGCAACAGGAAACCACAATAGAGCAAAGCAAAACAGAACACCCGAGGCCAGTGTGATGAATGTCCACATACCTAGATTTTACAACTGTCTGCACCTTGACAAGTTTGCTTGATCCATATGTAGATGAAAAAAGAAACTACTTAACAATGGGCTATGGACATCATGACATTTCTCCTAGAAGTTCTTCAGTCCATTGCTTTAGAATGTGTGTGTTCTCGTAGGTCATTGGGGCACCAGCCTCACCTGGGATCTGGTTAGAAAGAATGAAACTCAGTATATCCCAGACTGGGCTTATGAAGAGTCTGCATTTAAGAAAAAAAAAAAGCTGTGGGTGATTCATATGCACATTAAGATTTAAGAGGCACTGTCCTGTATGATAAAAAACCCACAAAAGCAGATAGTAGTTCTCTAATTAAAACCTGGACTGTCCTGGATCTAAAATCACCACCAGGTAAAGGTTGACAGGTACTTAGGAAGCAGCCCTTGAGAAAATGTGTTACTGGATCAGCTTTTCTTTGCTTCTTTGTCTTCCCTTCCCCTGCCTTTTCCTGCCTTCCCTCTGCCAGGGGAGCTCATGGATGGCCGAAGGGGCCTGGTCCCCTCCAATTTTGTAGAGCGTGTGTCTGATGACGACCTCCTGACCTCCCTCCCTCGGGAGCTGGCTGATATGTCGCACAGCTCGGGCCCTGAACTCAGTTTCCTGAGTGGAGGTGGGGGTGGCTGCAGTAGTGGGGGCCAGAGCAGCGGGGGACGTAGCCAGCCCAGACCAGAGGAGGAGGCCGCAGGAGATGAGCTCAGTCTGAGCCCCCCACCAGAGGGACTGGGCGAGCACCTGGCTGTGCCTTACCCCCGCCGTCTCGTGCTCCTCAAGCAGTTAGCCCACAGTGTGGTGCTGGCCTGGGAGTTGCCTCCTGAGAGAATAGATCTACGTGGCTTCCATGTCTTTGTCAACGGGGAACTTCATCAGGCCTTGGGGCCCGGGGCGCCCCCCAAGGCTGTGCTTGAAAATATGGACCTGCGAACTGGGCCCCACCATGTGTCTGTCCAGGCCCTAACCAGCAGGGGCAACTCAGATCCTCTGCGCTGTTGCCTGGCTGTGGGTGCCGGGGCTGGGGTGGTACCCAGCCAGCTACGGGTCCATCGGCTGACAGCTACATCTGCTGAGATCACCTGGGTACCGGGGAACAGCAACTTGGCCCATGCCATCTACCTCAATGGAGAAGAGTGTACACCTGCTCGCCCCAGTACCTACTGGGCAACCTTTTGTCACCTGCGGCCTGGCACGCTCTATCAAGCCCGAGTAGAGGCTCAGATCCCATCTCAGGGGCCTTGGGAACCAGGCTGGGAGAGACCGGAGCAGCGAGCAGCCACTTTGCAGTTCACCACACTTCCAGCAGGTATGTAGGTGTGGACAATGGTGACCCCCAAACCCAGGAGAGCCAAGCCTGAGCGCTCATGGCAGGGGAGACTGGCTTTGTTTGCATTCTTAGGGATGTGGCTACCATCTCGGTCAGGGAGAATCCTACATTGATTTTTCTTGTGCCCCACATCTCCCAGGTCTACCAGATGCCCCGTTGGATGTGCAGGTTGAACCAGGACCCTCTCCTGGAATCTTGATGATCAGCTGGCTCCCTGTCACCATTGATGCTGCTGGTACCTCCAATGGTGTCCGGGTCACAGGCTACACCATCTATGCTGATGGGCAGAAGGTAAAGCTTGGGGGTTCCAGCTACCTAAAGCCAAGGGGCAGCATGTGGGTCCTGCCAGAGGCCTGTCTTCCTGGCCTGGCAGAGATGTTCAGCCCCTGGCCTTTGGGAACTGTGTAGTAAAGTGATTGAGAGCATGGGTCTTGGCGGCCCGTGGAGGATAGAATTGCTTCTACTCTAAAAGCATGTGATCAGTAGAACTAAGAAGAGGGCTTGGGCAAAGCTGCAAAGATGCCAGCAGCCGACCATCCTGACCTCCCACTTAGCTCTCTTAGCCCTTCTTCCCTGGCTTCTTTCTTCCCTGTTCCTACAGATTATGGAGGTGGCTTCCCCCACAGCAGGCAGTGTGCTGGTGGAGGTGTCCCAGCTGCAGCTGCTGCAGGCCTGCCATGAGGTGACTGTGCGCACTATGTCACCCCATGGCGAGTCCACTGACTCCATCCCAGCCCCTGTTGCCCCAGCCTTGGCTCCTGTCTGCCAGCCAGCCAGGATGTCCTCCTGCCTCTCACCACGACCAAGCCCAGAGGCCAGAACAGCCCTTGCTTCAGTCTCCCCAGGGCTTGGGGATCCCAACTTTCCCCTCCGGCATCCTGCCCCTCATGGAACTCAAGATTCCCTTGCAAGCCTTCCCATGGAGACGTCCAAAGGATCCCAGGAGGAACCTGCAGTCTCTTGTGGTCAGGTACTTTATCTGTTTGGTGGAAGGCAGGCGCAAGCTGAAGGAAGGCTTAGAATCTGAGCTTATTCTCAATGTCATCCATCCCAGGAAGAGTCTGGGGCAACTGTGCCAGGCACGTCAGAGGAGAAGAGGGCTATCGAGCCAACCCTGGGCCAGGAAGGGTCTTGCCCTGTGGCTCCCTCCCTGGCTAAGCAACAAGTAGAGTGGACTTCAGGAGAGACTGGTCCCACGCCTTGCTCCACCCAAGGAGAGCCGACCCAGAAGGTGCCGAGTACTGAGGCCTGCCATGGAGGAGATCTGGGCTCAGGGCTGAAACACAGAACTGAGGTAGGGGTGGGAGACGCGCTGTGTAGAATCAAGATGTCTCTCTACACTTGGTCAGCCCACTCTCCTTATTTCTGCTCTGGTCTGGTTCCAATGCCTTTGCATTGTGTGTCTGCTTCTCTGTCACATTTTTTTTCCTGTCACCCATTTGACTCTCTCCCTCACCTTTCACCGCTACCATTGTGCTTTCTGGCCATGGCTTTCTCCCCCTCTGTGAAGGGATCTTTTCTGATTCCGGTTGCGGCTGACCCTGCTTAGACCTCTTCTTGCTTTTCTGTCTTACCTCTCCTATTTTAATTTGACATGCAGACAGGGCTCAATCAGCAGTCCGGCCTGGCCTGAACTCACTCTGTAGCTTAGGCGGGCCATCACCCTCCTCCCTTACCCTCCAGAGTACCGTGATTCCAGCCAAAAGTACCTGTCTTGCCTTTGCTAGAAAGAAGATACGTCAGAGCTTGGAGTTCGCCTGGTGAATTCCCTTGTAGATCACAGCCGCAACTCAGACTTATCGGACATCCAGGAGGAAGAGGAGGAAGAAGAGGAACAGGAACTGAGTTCCAGGCCTTGTTCCCCCCAGAAGCAGGTTGCTGGCAACAGCGTCAGGGAGAATGGAGCCAAGGTAACGGGGTGGGGAGGAGCTGGTGGGCCCAAGACCTGAGGCTCCAAAGGCCTCTACTGCCATGGCAGCTGCTCCAGCAAGTCTAGGTGTGTGGCCTGGGTCCTATCCTAAGGAGCAGATGTGAAGACGCTTGGAGCTTTGGCCCTTCTGGGCAGAGGTGGTGGGGCACTTTCCTTACTTTCCCCTGAAGTCTCCCAGAAGTAGCACCCTAGTCCTGGGAAGCCTTCTCAGAGCCTTGTGCTAGGAGGCTCAGGAAAGGGGGTGGAGAATTCTCTCTGTCCCAGCCTGCTCCATGCTCCTGCCCGACAGGGACCGATGCCATCCTCAGTTCAGCCCACACATGCGCGTGACTTTGGTCCAGCCACTGTCCCTCTGATTTTTCCTCTTAGCAGGAAGCTGAGGGAGGAGGGCTGGGTGTGTGACCCCAATCCCATGTCCTCATTGGAGGACAAAGGCCCCGGACCTCTTATTTTCCTCGTGGACTTCTTGCTGCTCTCTTCTCCCCACTCCCAGCCCCAGCCCGACCCCCTTTGTGAGACTGACAGCGACGAGGAGATCTTGGAGCAGATCTTGGAGCTGCCCCTCCAGCAGCTCCGCCGCAAGAAGCTGTTCAGCATCCCCGAGGAGGAAGAAGAAGAGGAGGAGGAGGAAGGGCAGGAGAAGCCAGACCCTATCCAGCCTGAACTTGCATTGCTAGGGCCGGGCTGTGACAGCAGTCAGCCCCAGGGACCTGGCCTGTGTCCCTTGTCTTCTGAGCCCTCTGGGGCCAGGGAGTACCTGGAGGATGTGCTGGGAGTAGCTGGTGGAAACAGCCGGAGGAGAGGTGGTGGCTCCCCTGAGAAGCCCCCAAACCGCAAGCGACCTCAGGATCCCCGAGAACATTGCAGCCGACTTCTTGGCAATGGCGGGCCCCAGACCACTGCACGGCCAGGGCCCCCACGGGAGAGGGGCAGCCTCCCTGTGATTGAGGGCATCAGGGTTGGACAGGAGGCTGGTGGGAGAGGGCGGCCGGGTCTATCCCGGAGGTGTCCCCGTGGCCCTGCTCCAGAATCCAGCTTGGTCAGCTGCCTCTCTCCAAAGTGTTTGGAGATCAGCATTGAGTATGATTCTGAGGATGAGCAGGAGGCGGGCAGCGGGGGTATCAGCATCACCAGCTCCTGCTACCCCACAGATGGGGAGCCCTGGGGCACAGCAGCCATAGGAAGGTCAAGGGGACCTCTGAAGGTCAATTCAGGGTCCAGCCCCTACGTGCGCCTCCCAGCCTGGGAGAAAGGGGAACCAGAGCGGAGAGGCCGCTGTGCGACTGGCAGAACCAAGGAGCCGCCCTCCCGGGTCTGTGCCCATTCCCCAGTTTGGGCGGCCCCCTCTGCCTGCTGCTGCCTGGTGGCTCTGCTTGCTGCCCACCAACCACTCCCATTCCACGCTGCCACCTCCATCAGCAGAGGTGGGGCCAGGCCTCTGGGCTCCCTCACCTGTCTCCCCCCCACCTACATTCCACTGCTTTCTGCTTCTGCCGAACGGAACTGGGATGCACAATATTCTGTTACTATTGGCCGCCACGCGCAACCTTGGGCAGGGTGGCCCTGTCCTCTGAGTAGCTAGTTATATCTTCAGGACACTTGACTGTGATGCCATATCCAGAGTCACCAGCCCCGATGCTGATGGGAGACTGTCCTCTCACACTCTCCTTGGCCACCTCAGGGCCCCTCTACTGCACTCATCCATTGGGGACCCGGGGTCTCCCGCCTGCCCTCCCACTGTGGGGGTGTCTGGTGCTCAGCGAGGCCGGGCCGGGTCCCTGGACGGGAATGCTGTGCTCCCGTTCTGCTGTGTTGCTTACGCTGATGCCGGGGCCAGAGCCGGGGGTCGTGGGCCAGCACCCGGGTGGTGTGTCACTTCTACCATCTGTTGCCCTGTCTTTGCAGGCAACAGAAACTGGGGAGTCCAGAGGGCAGGACAACTCTGGGCGGAGAGGAGCCCAGAGGAGAGGAGCCCGGGTGTCTAGGCCTGGAACCACTGAGTTGGGTGAGCATCTAATAGTGGCTGGGCCAGATTCAGGGGAGCGTTCCCCCACTTTGGGTGGAGCTCACTGAGTCCTTGCTCTGTCCCCAACCCTCCACAGCACCTCCAAGGAGCCCTCCAGGAGCACCAGCTCATCAGAACTTACCTGTGAGGGTCTTTGTGGCTCTGTTTGACTATGATCCTGTTTCAATGTCACCCAACCCTGACGCTGGAGAAGAGGAACTGCCCTTCAGGGAGGGCCAGATCCTCAAGGTGACCAACTTACCCTCTGGGCCCAGAGCTCCAGTCTCTAGCCAGCATCTCGTCTTCTCCTAACTCCTCTTGCGTTGAGCTGGGGGAGGGTCAGAGAACATAGCTTCCAGAGCTGGACGGTGGGATTCGGACCCTGCCTCTTCCACTCCTCCCCGTGTAGCTCTGAGTAGTTGTAGAACCTCCCCAGGCCTCGGTGTCCTCTCTTGTAGAATGGGTGTGGCCCTTGTCACCTCACTGAGTTGCTTATAGAGTGACTGACCGAAGGCACACACTTCTTCCTGCCACACGGTCAGCACCATAGCAATATTAACTACTTGTTAATATTACACTTTCGTTATTCCTCCAACTATTGATGGGAGGCTTTTTGCTTTCCTCTGGGGCTGAGAGATCCAGTCTGGGGTGCTTTGAGGGAAAGACCATATAGACAGCAGATTGGGGTGGCAGGAGTAGAGAAGAGATGGTTTCCTCAAGTTCTTCTTAGTTCTGAATTTTTCCTGTTTCTGCTCTCCTCTGCCCTAGTCTTCAGAAGAGAGAATTCTGCAGCGCCTAGTGGGGTGCTACCAGGACCCAGGGCTGGGGTGCAAGGAGTGGGCAGAACTGGTATTGAGACCAGTGGCCTTTGCTTCCAGGTGTTTGGAGACAAAGACTCTGATGGTTTCTACCGTGGTGAAAGTGGGGGCCGCACAGGTTACATCCCCTGCAACATGGTGGCTGAGGTGGCTGTGGACAGTCCAGCAGGGAGACAGCAGCTGCTCCAGCGGGGTTTCTTGCCCCCAGATGTTCTCCCTGAGGGCTCGGGTATGACCTGCTTCTGTTCCTCACCCATCACCATTCTCCCTTGGTTTTAGTCCAGTCCCATCCTAAGAGGTTCCTGTGTCGGGGGGAGGCCCAAGGTGCCTCATTTGTCCTGAGTTGGGTAGAGACACTCAAGCCTGGCATGCCTGCCCTTGCCCATCACCTTTCAACAGCTGGCCCGTTGAAGAGGTTGCAAAGATGTAGCTTAGGTCCTGAGGGTCAGTTTGGCTCTCATTGCAAATATGAGGTGCTGGCTCTTAAATGAGCTCACTATGAAATGCCAACAAAATTAAAATATAAAGGAAGAAACAAATTCGGAAACCTAAGAGACCAGGGGCATGGCTTAGAGCACTTGCCTAGGTTGCAAGGTCCTGTATTTGGTTCCCAGCCCTACAGAAGAAAACAACAAAGACATAGGAACCTTGGGAAAAGCCTCTAGACTGCTTAATTGCCCAACTCTTGCCTCAGTTTCTCTCTTAGATCTATCTATCTTCCTCAATTAGGGAATGGTCCCTCTATATACTCCTCAACCCATATGACTGGGCCTCCCCCCAAACCTCGCCGGTCTAAAAAAGGTAAGAACATAACATCCTGTGGTACCTGTGACCACTTGTGTGGCTTGGTGGTGGGGTGGCAGTGTGTGACTCTCTGAAGAGAGGCCTGTAGGATTTTGAGCAGATAAAGGGATTATAGCAGGACCGCCCCCCCCCCCCCCAACATCTGCCGCTTCTAGTGAGGTCTTTGTTCTGTCTGTTGCTTACTGGCTCTGGGTCTCAGTTCAGTACTGAACCAAAGGTCTGTGCTGATATTCTTTCTGAGTATCTCTCCTCCTGTGCCCTTCGTGGGAGGGTGAGCATCCTGTCTGTCCCCCACCCCCACCCCAGCCTGGAACAAAGAGGGAAAGGCAGGCAGGACTCAGAGACACATTCTCTCCACAGTGGAGCTGGAAGGTCTCCAGCCTTGTCCAGGTGAGGAGTCATTTCTGGGCAAGGGTGTCTGGGGAGAGAGATGGGATGGGGAGATCCCACTCATTGGGAACAGTGACACTGGAGTGGTGAGGCTGGTGGTCACGGGGCTTCAGTGTGCAGGACAGTATAGGGAGGGGTTCAGATGCAACTTCTTCCCCCTCTCTGCAGGTCCTCCTAAGCTGGTCCATTCTGCTGTCCTGAAAACCTCCAGACCTATGGTGGCTGCTTTTGACTACAACCCCAAGGAGAACTCCCCCAACACGGATGTGGAGGTGACGGCTGTCATACGATGCCCGGTGATGGGGAACGGGTGGCAAGTCCTTCCCAGGTCTGATATCTGTTTCTTGATCTTTCCACAGGCGGAGCTGCCCTTCAGGGCGGGAGATGTCATTACTGTGTTTGGGAATATGGATGATGATGGCTTCTACTATGTAAGACCCTTGCTGGGGAAGGAAGATGTATATACTCTGTTATACTCTGGTTCACCAGCTGGGTGGGCGTAAGAGCAAGAGGGCCTGACAGAGGGCTGGAGGAATGAACTGGGCTGCTTGTGGTGATGCTGGCCTCAGGCTGTTCCTCGGGGTCTCAGGGTTAAGGGGATAGGGCTGGGGCCTTCTCCTAAGTCTCAGTCTCATCAACCTCTCCTCCTCAGGGGGAACTGAATGGACAAAGGGGCCTGGTTCCATCCAACTTCCTGGAGGGCCCCGGGCCTGAGGCAGGTGGCCTGGAGTCTGGGACATCCCAAACTGAGAGTCAGGTCAGTGAGGAGCTGGGCTACCAACTCAGCATTTCATCTCTGTCCTGCTGGGGTTCTGGATTCTATGGCGGAAGATTCTCAGAGGCTGAGACCATGATACAGAGGAGCACTGCGGGTGCCTTAGAAGAGTAGGGGAGCATTGCGTGTGCCCCAGCAGAGTAGGGGAGCACTGCGTGTGCCCCAGCAGAGTAAGGTTCTACTAGCCCCCCCCCCTACCTAGTATCTGCCCCTGTCTACAGATCAGTGATGGCAGAGACCCTGATTCCCAGGCCACCTGACCTAACTAATGATGCCCAGGGGCCAACGCTAGTGAGGAGCCCCATGAAAAAGAACCCACTAGCCAGTCATTAGGGTGCTCCCACCCTACTAGGTCCTCCTGCTTCCAAGGTGCCTTTTGAAACCAGTTGGCCTGCAAGGCCTCTTAACATGCCTCTGGGGTCTCTTAACATGCCTCTCCTTGGGATGGGTGGGATACATTTAAGTATCCAGATTCAGAGAGCAATGAGGGCACCAAGAGACCAGGCTCCAACAAGGAACCCCATACAGTAGCCTCAAAGGCAAAGGCTGTGTCAGGCAGGAGTCAGCAGGTACCTGGGCCACTTGGTGACTGGCGGAGAGCATGCAGGTCTGTTGGTAACCCATCTCCTCTCTTTGTTCCGTGTTCTCAGAGAACGAGGAAGAGAAGAGTCCAGTGCTAGATGGAGATAGATATTTGTAGAGAGAGCGACATGTAAGTGGGGACTGTCTCACGTGTGTCATGTCACCACCATCCCCCACCTTACCGTAATTAGACGTTGTCTCAAATGGAGTCGGCCTGGCTTTTCTAATTCCTTCAAGGAATGGGGGAGGGAGATCTTGCCATGAACCAGATGTGGGTGTAGGATCTCCACTCTCCCTGCCTTGCCTTTACCCTGGGCAGTGTCATGTCATCTTAGTATATGACATTGTACCTTAGCTGACTCCTCATATTCTGTAGCATGCAACTTATAGAACATGATATGACATTCATGTTATGACTCAGTGGTATTATGATACTACATGACTGTGGTATTATAATACTGCGATTATTATGGGTGACAGGGAGGTGACACAGTAATGTCACCAGTAATAATAGTCTTCTCACTCTGGTCCTCTGTGATTCGAACCATTAGAATATCAGACATATGCTTTTATCCCTGTTGCTTAAGTTTCTCTGCTTGGAGGATAAAAGGAATAGCTTGAATAGTTGAAATCTATAGACATCCTCAAGCTATTCTTTGGGGCTCAGTGAACCCCTCCTTTTGTTCCCCCAGCCACCTTTTCCTCCTGGGAAAGGCTTGGACTTCCCAGGAGCCATGGGCCTTGGCTGTAAATGTATTGACTCCTAGGCCTGGGCAGAGACTCAGTTTGTGTGTCCTTGGTTTCCTCTGCCACCTCACTCAGGGCCACAGTGGTAGCAGCAGCGATAGGTTTGCTTGGGCACCCAGTCCCTCGCTTCTGGTCTGGGTTCTGTGCTTGGTTTTGGCAAGGAGCTTGCCAGGCTCCTGGGAGCAGTGGGGGCTGGAGGGAGAGAAGACAGGAAATACAGTTTGGGTGAGAGTTAACAAGGCTGTGCCCAGCCAGTTCCAGGTGAGGTTCAGTTGGGAGTAGCTTCCTGGTGATTTCCCTGTTTGCCAGAGTCTCTGCCCTTAGGTCACCAAAGAGCTCTGCCTGGTGGGCTTGAGACAGGGGGAACACTCAGATTTGTGAAGGGAGCAGGGAAGAGGGCTGATAAGAAGGTGCTCAGGGAGGGACTGCCTGAGAGCCCCCTCAGGGGCCATTCAGGGTAGAGTTTCAATCGCCCCATGCAGTGGGCCATGGGTCTCTGAAGACCTCTGGGGCATTGTGTCCGCTGCCTTGATTGAGGTGTTCCTTTTTTGTCTGTGAAGTGCTTCAGGTGCCACCTGAAGTGTCTCTGTCCTTGCTCTTCCTTCCTGGGCAAGAGCAAGATGATAAATGGGAGACGGAGGTCAGCTTGGCACAGATAGTGAGGCCCCAGGAAAGGGAGGGGCACACCCAGGGTCAGTGACAAAGCAGAGCTCAGACTGTCCCATGAGACTTCCTTCCTAAGCAGGGCTCATTATCATCTCCCTTCACCGCCATGCCGTGTGTGTGTGCGTGTGTGTGTGTGTGTGTGTGTACGTGTCTGTGTGTCTCTCTGTGTGTACATGTGTATATCTCTGTGTGTGTGTCTGTGTGTGTGTGCATGTGTCTGTGTGTATATGTGTGTATCTCTGTGTGTGTCTGTGTATGTGTCTCTCTGTGTGTGCACGTGTCTGTGTGTGTCTCTCTGTGTGTGTTTGTGTGTCTGGAACAGCGGCAAGGTCTGTGACAGAAGAATGAAGGAATAAAGGCATTGGTGGGCAGGAGCCGGCGCTGGCCTTACCCTCTTTCTTACATTCCAGGACTCTGGAAGGACCATCCAAGAGTCGCCAGTGCCCCCTGGCTGGCACTACAGCCTCAGCTCTGGAAGTTCCTTCAGGACCAAACTAGGAGAGCCCCAGAGCATAGCCGAGAAGAAGCAGGGTCTCCTATCCAAAGGAAAGGAACTCCTCAAAAGACTGGGCTCCAGAAAAGAGTGACTGTCATCGGTCCGCAGGCAGAAGTGGCTCCTGGGAGCTCCAGATCAACTGGGTGCCTGGACAATGAAGCTCAACCAATCCAGAGCTCCTGTTCTCTGAGCAAACACTGACACTCAGAGGGATCCAGGGCACCTGGTGAGGGCGGGGCTCCACGCATCCTTAGTGCGGGGTCCTCTAGATGGACTGTGCCAGGCAGAAGGGAACTGAGACGCAGAGTAAGTAACTAAACACCGTCAGATCAGGGCTGGACCCACGCCTCTGGATTCCCTGTCTGCCCTCCTAACCTCTTCCTGGCTTCCTGTCAGGCACCGCTGATCCTTTCTTGGCCATCCCTGCTTCCAGGGTAAACCCTGGGTGGAGACTCTAATAGTGGCTCTGGCTGCCTCCCCTCTGTCTTCCCTCCCCTGCGGGAACATTTGCACAGGAGTGTCCCCTGGGGCAGGGGGCAGAGCCGTGTATATATGTACATATTCAGTGCCTCAGTCCAGCTCCTCCATCTGCTTCACCACACAGGTCAGGGGAGGAGAAAGGCCATGCCAAAGCGGGCCTGTACCTGCCCCATAGAGCTCCACCCCTCCCTGCCCAGGCCACCTGGCCTTGTGTTATCCCATCCCCCCGAAACCAGGGGACCAGGGAGCAGAAAGCAGGAGCTGGGTTTGCCTTATTTTGCTCATTGGATTCAACTTCTCTTTTGCATCATTTCCTTCCAGTCCCTGTTGGGTCCAGGGGCTGAGGGAAAGGACAGATTTATGCAGCTATTTTCATACACCCCTTGTTCAGGGCGGGTGGAGGTTTCTCCACCCCGCCTCTAGCCATCCCATCTGTCACCCCTTGTCTGGGCGAGTCTCTTTGCATGTTTCCTTTGGTGTGGTGGGAGATGTTTGACTGAACCCCTACCCCTACCCTGGTCTCCAGGGGTGTGGGATGGTGGGGCATTTGTTTAAAATGACATTTTATTATAATAAAGTCTATTTTCACAAAATTGATGCTGGCCTCTGCCTGGGTAGAAGACTCCATAGAGGGATGGGTCATGCTGATGGCTTTGGATTTATGACTCCAATACCCAGAAGCTTTCCTTGAAGGGTGGCTGAGGCAAAACTAATCCTTCCAGAGACAGGGTAGGATGGGAAGTGGGGGACAGACCCCCCTGGAAAGAGAGTAGAGGAAACAGAAGAGAGAAGGCATCCATTGCAAGACAGCAGGATGGCCACACACTGCATCCCCCACCTGTCCCACACCAGACCCATAGACATAACAGACATAAGGGAAACAGCTGATGAACAGGTACTTCACGAAGTCCTATCTGAAGACAAGAAATGGACATCTTAGGCTGGAAACACACAACAGGATTGTAAGAAAAATGGGTGAACGGATGAGGGTCCCATTCAGAGACCCCAGAGCAGGGTGTGGATGGGAGAGTTCAGCACAGTGCTCCATCCTAGGGAGACAGGTTAGACAAAGAGCAACAGCAGCAATAACAACAAACCAAAAATCTCCACCCTTAAAAAATATTAGGCAACCATAGTAATTGCAGTGGTGACATATTAACATATCAACCAGGAGACTAGTAGATTGGAACAATCTAGAAATAGTCAAGGCATACGTAAGTGGCGGAGGCAGTGCCACAAGTCGGCAGAGAAGTGACAGACCAGCATTAAGGGTCTCACGGCGTGTGGAGGTGCACTCTTTTAATCCCAGCACGTGGGAGGCAGAAGCAGGAGGGTCTCTATGAGTCTGACTGCATGGTGAGATCCAGGCCAGTCAAGGGCCACATAGTGAGACCCTGTCTCAAAAAAGCGAAATGAATAAACAAACAAATAAATCTTTATGGTATTTCCCTGTTCATATGCATGAAGCTTTAAGATGAGTTAAAACCTAAATATCAACTGTTAAGGTTGTATAAGAGCACACACAAGAGCCTATACACAAGAATATATGTATACTACCTTAAAGAGGGCACAGAAAGGAGTCATAACCCAGAGAGAGAGAGAGAGGAAGCTGACTCAGAGCAAGCAAGGTGTGACCGTCTTGCCGAAAAAGGTACCAAGCCACGTGGCTAACACAGACAAGAATAATGGGTTAATATAAGATGTAAGAAAGAGTTATGGGGACTGGAGAGATGGCCCAATGGTTAAGAGCATTGTCTGCTTTTCCAGAGGACCCAGGTTCAATTACCAGCACCCATATGGCAGCTCACAACCACCTGTAACACCAAAGTATCTGACACCCTCATATAGACATAAATAAAAAAATAAATAATTAAAATATTTTTTTAAAAAAGAAAGAGTTAATAAGAAGCCAGAGCTAATAGGCCAAACGGCTTATAATTAATGTAGACCTCAATGTATTTCTTTGGGACTGAACAGAAGCAGGACTGGGTGGGACAGAAACCTCGGTCAACAAATGGCACAACGTGGACAGCTAAATCCACTTACAACCTGAGAGAGCTTGGGAAGCTATTCTAGATGGAAGAGAATAAAGTTAAGCATGGTTTCTTGACAGCATCACTTTCTCGGGTGGGCTCTGCTTGCTACAGGCAAGTGCTCTCATTTAAGAGAGGCTTCCTGACTCAGCTTTAGCTGCAAAACCTTGCAGCTCTTTTAAGAGGTCCTGCCATGAAACACTTAAATGGTGTTGATTTAAAGCTGACTGCATACTTTTTGGTGATGGCAGGGGCCTTGAAACGCCATAGAGTTGTGGCAATAAACATGGCTCCTGCCAGTACCTCTGCCATGAGGCTAGACTCTCAGAAAAGAGCTAAGGAATGGTCTGGATCCAGCCATCAAAGCCATGGCTTTAATCCTAGCCATATCACTTAGCAAATTAAAGACTTACGTGGTCAGAAAAAGAGAGATATACAGTAAAGATAAATTCAAAGATGAAGAAAATCTCTAAATGGTTTACTGTGTCTTTAAAAATATATGTAGGCTTGGGAGAAAAAAAAAGGATAAATTCCTTAAAAGAAAAAGAAAAAAAAAAGAGAGATTAGTTGGGTGTGGTGGCACACACCTTTAATCCCAACAGAGGCAGGTGGATCTCTGTGAGTTCAAGGACAACCTGGTCTATGGAGTGAGTTCCAGGACGGCCAAAGATACACAGAGAAACTCTGTCTCAAAAAGCCAAAATATAAAAATAACAATAAAAGAGGGCACAGAAAGAGGGGACAAAGAGACAGGGACCACACCCTTAATGAAGACTGACTCTCCCTCTCCCTGCAGCTAGGAGCTGCCAACAGCAGCTAGAGGTGGGACCTGAGCTCAGCTGCCCTCTCCACGCTGGGACTTTGACTTGAGTGTGTGCAGGTCCTGTGCCCGCTGAGTGGCGGTTTTTAAAGGAACTTAAGGCACGTCTATGAGAAGTATTTCTCCTCTCTCTCTCTCTCTCTCTCTCTCTCTCTCTCTCTCTC